TTAATTGATGCATTATATAGAAGAGATGGACGTCAGAGAGTTTTCTTTTTTTTAATGAAGGTAGAGTGAGACCTTGATGAGGGGTGGGATGAATGTCTGCAGAGTTCCTTAGGATCATTTATGATATGTATAAATCAGATTGTTAACTAAAATGTTAGAAGCCAAGATTAATGTTACTTAAAGATGCTTTGGGGAAGAGTTGGAAGCAAATTCTACTTTAAACCCTTTAGCCTGATTAAGAACCTAAAATATTCTTGCTAATATGGAAAATACCCCTGATATTTAAAATTTTCTAACAGGTAGCTCTCCTCCTACCTTTGTGAAGGAATACTGGATGATTTCAGTCAAAAGGCATAGTTATTACCATAAGAAAAAGTCCTGCAAGAAAGCACATGTTGCCACTTTACTCATTATTGAAATGCCCTTATGACTGTCAGAGGGAACAGGTAAGACGCTAGGGGAGGCAGAGAAAGAGAGATCAAAGTATTTTTGTTTACTTCTTTGAAGTCTTGTAGTACCTACTGTTTACCATGCACACTTCTTGATTCATGCTGAAAATTGGAATTCACCCATTTCTCTCTTTTTCCTGTCTAAGATGCAGATGGGGCACATTTCGTTAACTCCATCAATCCCTGCCCCCACGCATTAGCACATGCACACGTATACCTAGCCAGTGGAAAAGAAAAACGAGTTACTCACATTCATCCATTCTACAAAGATTTCCAGGCTGCAATGGGAGGGCTTTACCTCTCCTTGAAGGATGAATAAATAGGTAGCTTTACTGACAAACTGTTCACAGTCAAACTGAAGTGAAAACTGAGACCAAGGTCTTGTTCTACTGGCACTTATGAGATCCAGTCCTGGCAACATGGAGAGGATAGTCATCTGCCTGATGGTCATCTTTTTGGGGACTGTGGCCCATAAATCAAGCTTCCAAGGCCAAGATCGCCTTTTGATTAGAATGCGTCAACTTATAGATATTGTTGATGAGCTGAAAAATTATGTGAATGACTTGGTAAGGCCATACTTGTCACAACAAAATTCAAATAATATTCTTCAATTAATATAAAAGGAGCTTTTTGACTTATAAAAATAACTCAGAACCAATTTTCTTTTGCTCTAGGACCCTGAATTTCTGCCAGCTCCAGAAGATGTAAAGGTAAGACCAGTTGAATTTATTTGTGAAGTATATTTGATATAAATTTTTAAATCCAATTCAGAAAGGAATTAACATGATTATTTAGGAATATACTTAATTTCAATGAATTTGGGGGTTTAATAGTTGGTGAAATAGTTATTTCTATTTTGGTCAAATATTCAACAAGCCAACCAATAAAACACTACATACCTTATAAAATATTTTTTTATCTCCAAATATTTCTAAGAGTACTCCCAAGGAGTATTGTTGAGACAGAATAACAAAACTAGAAAACAAATCTATACTATGGTCAGTTTCTGAACAATGATCAACTAATTACATTTTAAGAGCCCTTGTTCATGTAAGCTCTTGAGCCCTCTTTGTAAACCTAAGAAAATTAGATACATACCACAAGAAGAATTCACCTTTTAATGACAAGAAAGAAAGAAAGAGAGAGAAGGAAAGAAAGACAGATCACAGGAACAGCATGAAGGAATGGTAGTGTGGAAATCCTTTAGAATATAATTCCCATATACCTTGGCCTCAGTGAGTCTCGTCTTTGGCCTTCGGTGAGGTCTTTTGAAAGGACCATTTTCAACAACTCATCCCGTTCTCTTAAGCCATTTAAATCCATTAGATCCAGGAAGAAGAGGCCTAGCATATAGTTCAGGACTGCTGCGTGATGATCTTTTCCTTGGTAACTTCGATCTAGTCTTCAGGTTTGGTACCTTGAGGATAAAAACGCAATTGGGGAAATGTTTTCATTGTCACAGACTTTCAACTGCATAAATTAGAATAACTATAAAAGTGCTACCAGTAATTAGGACACTACAAAGGGGGAGACATGAAGATACATTGCAAAGAAAACAATTATCGTAAATGACTATGTGTAAAAATTTAGAAAGTGAATGAGTCAGAACTATTGCTTTTCTCTAAAATTCACTCTCTAGCTCTGAACCTAACCACTCTCATTTACTAGGTCCTTTTCTAATAAGCAGCATCTAAAATGAAAGTAGCACATTCAGCTTATTGGAAAGACTTTTCCAATAACTAAGAATATTTCTTAATCAATGTCCTAATTATCAAAACATACATTTTCAGCATCTCACATCTCCGTTTAATAGCATCCTTGTTTTACTGTTCTGGTTAGAGTCCTTTCTGGAGTTTCCTAGCTGCAGTCTATAACTTGCAAAATAAGAAATAAGAAAGATATCCCATTTTCTAACTTGAGTTGATTCGGTGGGTACTTCTCTTATATGCTTTGTTAAAGAGAGATATTTTTTATCTTACATCATAACGAGAGAACTTTGTCTCAGTGACACTGTATCTGTCTGAGAATCTCATCAAGCAATGCTGGCTATGATACAAGTGAGTGATGGTATAACCAAGATCTTGAAGCTATGCTAGCAGGCAAACTCAGGAAGGAAGAAAATAGTTCAAGGCTACAGTAGTGTTATATCAAGTTTTTCAGGGCTAGCATCAAAGCAGGAGCTATAAGAGATTTAAGAAGATTAAAAAGTTTAGTGAAAATAAATTCATTTAAATGTTGCATAGAAATGTTAATATATAGTGATTATTCAAAATCTCTATATGGCCTCTCCAGGCATCTTTCTTTCTCTTTCTAATTATATAACCAGCGGTCCTTAACTGGTGGCGGTTTTGCCCCCAGAGAACATTTGGCATTGTCTGGAGACATTTTTGGCTGGCACAATTGTGTGTGTGTGTGGGGTTTCTACCGGTATCTAGTAGGTAGAGGCCAGGGATGCTACTAAACATTCTAGAATGCACAGGACAGCCCAGACAACAAAGAATTATCCAGCCCCAAATGTCAATAATGCCACTGTTGAGATACCCTGATATAAAACTAATTTGTGTGTGGGGCAAAGGTAATTTTGCCCAGTTAGCAAGACTTCCTAGTGTGAATGGCTAGGGCTTTCTTTGCAAAAAAAAAAAAAAAATTTGCCCGTTAAAAATGTCAATAATGCCACTGTTGAGATACCCTGATATAAAACTAATTTGTGTGTGGGGCAAAGGTAATTTTGCCCAGTTAGCAAGACTTCCTAGT